ACGACTTATATCATTACTCTTGCAAGCCACATATAATAAATTAATTGATGACATCGTTATCTGGGTTTTTTGAAGAGAAGTATTTTCAATTATTTTTCGTGCGCTTTTTTTATATAGATGTCGTTTAAAAGAAATGAGGCTTAATTGATTTGTCCCTTTACATTGGGAAAAAGACAGATTGGGACCGAAGAATTTTCCCATCGTGAGTAACTAGGAAAATTTCGTGTTGACAGACATTTGGATGGGTAGAATACAGAAAGTTGGAGGAATTAATAACGTCGATTTGGATGAAAGGGCGAAATATCGACATGTTTATGCCATAAAGCAATCAGAAGGATGAATCATCTCTTTAACACACTGTATTCTTTTATCAAGAATCAAAGAAAAAAGAAAAAAGGCAACAGAATGTGCTCGTGAAGGAACGATTGAATTACTTTCACATTTTTGAATCGATGCAGACGCGTGTAGTCAACAATAAATGCTAATGTTTCAAAGATTAATATTGAGTTCTTCTTCATCCTTCACTCGGCAATACCGATAGGGTGTGGGTGTCTTGCTGTATGCTCATTCGCAGTCACACCCACACCCACCCTTTTGTAAATGGTTTTCCTTCATTATTAATTCATGAAACTATAGATCGTCTTGATACATTTTCATCCCAGGTCGAGACGAACAGAATGAAAACGCGTTCGGAACAGGCGAACGAAAACCAAAACGTGTTCCGAACGATCAGAACGTGCTGTATCCCAGCAGAGGAACGCGTTTCGAACTAGTAGTTCTGATCGTGTTCGCCTGTTCTGAATGCGTTTTCACTCCGTTCGCCTCGACCTGGGTCGTCTCAAAGAAAAAGATGACTTAACGCTGAATGGGCCAATCTTATTGCTTAATTCAACTTTAACGTTAATTCACTTTTCTAGTGTGTTTGACTCCAAAGAAAAATGCCATCATACATTTGTTCGTCGAATAGACTGAACTAATTCAATAGGAATTAAGAAACATGATTGACCTTTCTATCTAACAATGCCAATTTCATTGGTTAGTTCACTTTAAATTAGTTTAGTCTGTTTGTTTTCTTTATCATAGAAGAACATAACGGCATCGATATTTATTCGTCATTGTTCTTATAGACAGCAATGTGAAAATAAAAAACATCTATATATATATATTGACATGAATACATTTTATGAGCTAGACATGAACAATCTAAATAACAATCATCTTAATATACTTGATTTATCCGATGAAATTTTATTCATCATTTTTCATAAACTCAATATAATTGATGTTCTTTCTTCAGTTATCGATGTGAATCGATGATTTCGCCGATTAGTCCTTGATTCTCTTTATATTCGTGATCTCGATATGACTTCTATCATGAGCATTACTTCACATAAAACTTCTTCAATGGATACTCAAGTTATTTCAAGAATTTGTTCGAATATCTTACCTCAAATTCATTCACAAGTACATAAACTTACTGTTGAAGAATATTCAATGAAACAAATTCTTCTTGCTGCCAACTATCCTCAACTTTATTCATTATCACTTTTCAATTTTCAAGAAGTAACACTTCATCAATATTTAAGAGGTAATGGTTTTAATTT